GAACTTGGACCTCCTGTGGGGCCTGAGCTGGATTCTTGGGTAGTGCTACTAGCGGGTTCTTCTGTACTGGTTGAGGATGATTCCTTTGTACTAGTAGTACTTGGACCTCTTGTGCTGCTTGAGCTGGATTCTTGGGTAGTGCTACTTGCTGGTCCTTCTGTGCTGCTTACGGTAGATTCTTGGCCAGTGCTACTTGCTGGTCCTTCTGTGCTACCTGTGGTAGATTTTTGTGTAGTGCTGCCAGCTGACCCTTCTGTAGTGCTTGAGGTTGATTTTTCAGTTGCACTACTAGCTGGTTTTTTTGTGTTTCTGGAAGTCGATTCTTGCGTGGTACTACTAGTTGGTACTTTCGTAGTTACAGTTGTTTTGTCTGATGTATGCGGTGCGCGTGTACCATGTGATGGTGTCGAGCGTTGTGTTGTCGAAGTTTGAGGCTCATCATTGTTGCATTTTTTAATCTTTTTGAGGATTTTTTCAAGTTTTTCCAAAAGAGATAGTTGAAGCTTTGTTACTTTGCAGTCTGATAGTGTATGTTTCAATGTTGACATATGTTTAATCTTTTGGGTGGCTTCTTGTGTAATCTTCGGAAGTTCCTTGTTCGAAAGGTGCGTTACTTCCATCAGTCCCTATTATGGTTGTATGGGATAAAAATAAAATTTCTATTATATTAATTTGTAGTGGTTTTAATATCTTGCTAATTGTGATCATTTTTATGATTGTTACGAGGAATTAAATGTCGTTCATTTAAACTATAGAATGTTATTTATAGATAATATCTGTATATAGTATATATTTTTGTATATCGTTTTACGCATTACTACGTTAAAAATATTTGTCGTTTATTCTGAATAAAATATATTTGTGCATAATTTTACTTTTTATTCCAGAAACGGTATTATTTATTGTAGAAACGTATTAAGTACTTACGTTATCTAAACATGCAATTGCATTAATGATCTCTAAGTTGGATACGACACATTGTGCAGTTTCGTTAACAATATCTTCAGTCTTAGTCTGGAAGTTTTCAGAAGCTCGAACTATTTTCTCTTCCACTTCTATCGCTTCATCCATGTAGTTTGAAACACATTTATTAACCGAATTTAAGATCTTGTCACGTATTTTCTTCAAGTCCTTTGCGATAGCTGTGCACTGGTCGTTATTATTTCTATGTGCTTTTTTTTTTAAAATTTTCATTTCATGTGCCACCTAGACGCACAAAGCGAAAAGACATTGTAACACAGAGAAACTTGTGTCATAATTTAATTATTCATTACATATGTACATATATAATATAATATAATATATTATGTAACATAGCACACATATATCTATCTTTTCTATTTTTTCCATTTCGAAGCTATAGTTTGTTCTAGTTGTGTGAGGCACCCTGTATATATTTGAATCGTAATATCCAATTACCCATATGTATTACTCGTGGAATGACTTAAATGTATTTTTCAAATCTTGAAATGATTACTGCTAGGAATGTACAATATTACACACTTACATTCTTCAATATGTCATTGACTTTATATTTCGCATTCCTCTTTATTTCTTTGCTGTTTTCTCTTATTTGCTTCAGATAAAAATTAGCTTCCTCTTTATGATGCTTTAAGACTACCTTTGCGTCTTGAACGATGCCTTTTATTTTTACCATAACTCTTTCTTCGTGTTTATGTATTCTGCTCGCTGGATCGAGGAATCCTGGTAACCCAGGAAAGGCACTACCCTAAAATAAAACAAAAATAGATTTTTTGATAAGTTAGGTGGTGTCGTCGCTCGGAAATGTCTATCCGTAGGTAACTTGTTTTTAGAAACATCATGTAAGATGTAAATAAGAAGGAAATAAGAAGGAAAGATCAAATTATTTTGAAAAATATTAGCAAAAAGGAAAGAGATTCCGAGTTAAATCGGAACTTGAGAAAAATTCACTTACATACGCAGCTATAACGAAGAAACAGAGTACAATTGGGAATTTCGCCATTTTTGACCCCTTCAAACACGACGAATTTGAGACAATGCCAAGATATTGCGTTTCTCATTTATATAAGCTGTAGAGTTCGTAAAAAATAATTTATCCGCCAAAAAACACACGTAGCTTTCGACACTTGTGTCAATGTACAAACATAGCTAATTAAAATGATACGGCATGTAATTGACATATTATCGACGAATAATTTAACTTTTATGTCAACTACGCTATATATAATCAAATTGATCGAACGTAACGTACACGTTTCATTTTCTCCTTTAATCTTTTGATAAAGAAAGGTACTGCGGTTATTTATATATGATTGGAAACATTCGATCCAGCAATTTGACATTTTTGTCAAAATATTTTTTTGCCGTTTAGAGCTGCAATTTGTGCAAATAACATTGTACAATTTCGCTTTATTTTGTCAGAGATTGGTCAAATGATTACGCGATTTTATGTAGCGTCGAAATATATGATTTAAATAATTTCTCGTATTAAAATGTATATCCCTGTTAGCGGAGATCTTTTGTAATCTGCTCGTATAGCGTTTCTGATAACGTGTTGTTCGTTTCGTATTGTGCAAATTTATTTAAACAGATTTATTTGAATAAAGATTTATCGAGAAAGAAATTGAAGATTGTTAGAAAAGGAAAGAAGGAGTAACTTTGGAAAATTTGATATTTGCTTGACGTTACGGAATATTGTTTAAATGGCATTGATCGGTAGAGGAGGCGTTTTCGTAGCATCGTAATTCGAGTAACGATTTAAGTATCGAATCGTTTTGTATCTTCCGTATTTTACTATTTACGTTACTAACATTCATTTTTATATTTCTTTTCCTCGGGTATACTTTACGTATCTTTGTCGGTCTAACATACGTAGCAAAGTATAGTTACCAAGTAGAAAAAAATTGCAATTTTATATATCAATTAATTCGGTAAATCGAGGCAGCACAAAGGCGATTTCTTCGATTAACCTTCCATTAAATGTCTAATACGAAACTACCTTTTGTTGCAAGCAACATCTACATGTTAGGATCGAACGTTTCGCCGTTACGATCGACTTTCTACGAGCGACATGTTTGATCGTATGAGTGCGTACACGAGTAGCTGCAGACACGTAAAATTTCACCCCAATAAAACGTTCCCATAGAGTACGACGCGCAGGGTGTCGTGGGAACCGTTTCACTCGATGTAAAGCACCGTGCACATTTTTATGGGGCGCGTAGACGTAACCAAGTAGCTTGGGGATTCCTTTGTAATATAACGAATCGACGATTCTTCTCGTCTCAGCTATCGACCGATTTTCCCCTGTATGAGTATCTTGCCTCGGTCGATCGTACAATTTAGATGCGACAAATGACGTAAACGCCGAAGAAGAAAAACCAAATGATGCAAAATACAAAGTAATTTTTTGCCGAAGAAGGATGTCAATTTCATTCTGTGCCACTTATCTTTCTTCTATTTCTGTAAAAATTACAAGCGTCTGCGGTACAGAGGCTTTGAACGATAAACAGCCTAAATACGAAAATTAATCCTCCTCGCTTGTAACATCGAGTCAACGATTTTTCAAACGAAAATGCGGCAGAATTTATGAAACGATATAATACAAGAGCACGAACTGTTCGACTCTCTTACGTTCCTCGTACGTTACAGATCAATTTATAGAAAATATTTCAAATTAATGATTTTATCTCTTCGAAAAAGATAAAGAGAGAAGAGACGGAATGTTTCGATTAACCTAATACACGTATTTTTCTTTGCCTGAATTTGTTTGCTCGATCAATAATCCAATATTTGATAGAAATATACGTAAATGTATCAGTTAATGTTTGTATTCATTCAAGCGAGCAGTGGGAATAGTTTTCGAGTAAACAGGAACAGGTCACGTACGTATGTACAACTCGAAAGAACTTAACGTTTAAACGTTAGTCCCTCGAATGTCAAGTTTTCGTCCTTTGGGTTTAATATTTGGAAAATCAGTTCTATTAGATGAAAACGTAACAATCAAAGTTACTTTAATAATAAAATAAAAAAAAATAAAATTAATCGATTGTTCTCAATCTTATACAGGGTGGTTGGTAACTGGTGGTACAAGGGGTAAGGGGGTGATTCTACGCGAAAAAAGAAGTCGAAAATATAGAATACAATTTTTTTTTCTTTTTTTTTTATAATTTTTCCGATCTACTACCGAGCGAAAATTCAAAGTCGATTTTCTCGAAAACAGAGCCTCGAACGAAAAATTTTTATTCTATATTTTCGACTTCTTTTTTCGCGTAGAATCACCCCCTTACCCCTTGTACCACCAGTTACCAACCACCCTGTATAAGATTGAGAACAATCGATTAATTTTATTTTTTTTTATTTTATTATTAAAGTAACTTTGATTGTTACGTTTTCATCTAATAGAACTGATTTTCCAAATATTAAACCCAAAGGACGAAAACTTGACATTCGAGGGACTAACGTTTAAACGTTAAGTTCTTTCGAGTTGTACATACGTACGTGACCTGTTCCTGTTTACTCGAAAACTATTTATCTCGATATATTTGTTATTAATATATGTAGAATATCTGTAAAAAGAATTTTTTCTAATAAAATTTCCAAATAATCGTCATGTTTCTTTACGTTCTATTTGAAGAAGAACGTAACTGACATTTCTTAAATTTGCATATATAAAAATTACACAATCACGTGATTCTGATTACATTAAATGTTTCGCAATGTTTCCTTAATGCTATCAGTTGATATAATATTTGTTATTTTATTGATTAAACGTGGAAATTAGCATAAACGTGTGTTTCATTTTGCGAACGAGCACGTTTATGATATATTGTTACTTGATAATCGAGGGGGTTCGAAGGAAAAGTAAATTTTAAATGTTAAAACACGTTGTTAACTCTACTCATAAAACTGTAACAATTCGTAACAAAATTCCGATTATAAAGTTACATGTAACTATCGCTGTTACGTTATAATCGATCTAAAATTAATTTATAAAACAAACACGATATATTTTATGTTGCAGATAAATCCTCTTCAATCTGCGTCGAATACAAATACTTTTCGGTGAGTGCTTAAATACAATCTTTTTTATTCGATAGTTCGTTTACGAAAGTACAACGTGCAAAGCGAATTACTTTAAAAATATAGAAATATTTTCCATAATAAATGTTCAATCTTTGCGTATAACACGTCTTTCCTGTTTTTTATCACATTCGATGGAAGATCTAATGCCAATTAACGTGTAACCTAATGCGACATTTAATATAAAACCTACTGTAAAACCTAGTTAGCGTAAGCTTTATCATTAACCGTAACCGAACCATGCAATCTCATCCCTCGTAAGCGTAGAATCGGACGCATATGTCACGTTCTTAGAACTGTTTTTGTTTTTTAGAGGAAATCACTTTGAGAAACTAGATTTCTAACATCTGTTCTCGTATTCGCTTCCTGAACATACGAACATCGATGCCACGTGCTTCCTACGTGTCGTATAATGAATTTGAATTTAACCGAATTTAACCGAAGATGAATTTAAAAAACGGAATGAAAATATTTATTGCGAGATTGGCCATGGAAAATACTGGGCAAATATTTTCAATACAACTACTTGCTGTTTAGAAGAATAGGAAGAGATATTTAATGAAATTAATGTATTCCAATAAATCTACCAATATAAATCTATGATATAGTTAGTAGCAGATACCGCTGAAATCGAACGAATATCAAAGCTCAGTGCGCATCGCAGCACATGTTAGGTTTTGTACCTGTCGGCTCGATGTTCATGGGAATATACCGGCATGTGGTTTTTATCTGTGGCCATATGGCGTATCGGAAAATGCACGTGCGAAAGAATAGAGACAGAAATCCCGAGCAGAACACTGTCTTTTAATGCTGTCACAATTTCGCGCAACACCACGACGAACGACCGACGATCAAATCTACGAACTGCTGGTAAAAGTTTAAAACGCGTCTCGTACTTGAAATTAAAAATTTCGTGAAAGCAGAAGAAACTATTTCGAGGTAACGATAGAAATCACTACGCTGAAAACTGATTTTAATTTTCCCGTTGAACGAGTCACGTTGAGATCGACGGAGCTCTCCGGATCGACTCCGGATCGATCACTTTCGTCTTTACTGCTATTCCCTTTCGCGACTCAACGATGCCTTTAACGCGGCAACGAAGAAAACATCTAAAGGGAAAATACAAACGCTTCTCGTTCTCTGTCTCTATTTGGGCGATTAACAAATATCGGATATAGCGACGCACCGAAGAAATACGCGATTACATAGACAAAAATTGTTCTTATTCGAACCACCTTTCTCCTTAGTACGAGTAATCGCTTAATTTCGATGCCTCGGAATGAGTGACACTTTCTTAAAGATACTCGCGAGACGTTTAACGTTTGACTTCTTGATGGAAATTTATACTTTATCACGATGCTCGTCTTACCGATATCGATCGTGCTACTCAACGATAACGTCTAATCGTTTCTCGATAGATCTTTTTCTTCGGGGTGGGGAAAAAAACGGGGTTTTAACTTTATCTTTTTGAAATTAATACGATATATTTGCAGCGTCTAATCATTGTTTTTTTTTTTCTTTTTTCAAAACTTCACTCGTTATATTCACCGTAAATAAGCTTTTTTACCTCGCGTACGTTTGTATACCTCCATGACGCGTGAATTTACCATACAAAATTTGTTTATTTACGCTTGTTAGCAAAGCGCTGCTTTCGTGAATACGAATTCAACATTGTGTTAGCGAAATACAGCTTTCGCGAATATGAATTCTAATTTAGCTACTTTCTTTTAATATCATCGTGTTCGTTACGCGTTGTAAAAATATTTCTTTTTCATTTCCGGCCAGCGTAAAGGGCATTCTATCAGAAACTCTGCTCTTTATTTTTTCACCTATAGCTCTTTAATAAATTACTTTTTAAATCAACGTTTGCGATTTTTCCAATTTTTGCTTTACTTTATTTATACCAAATATTTATATACTTCGTTAAAAGCATCTGTCGTTCCATGTTATCGAGATCGACGTCAAACTGCTGTTTAGCCACTTGTCACATCCTTCTCGAAAAGATAGTTTTCTAAAAAGTTATTCCGTAAATCAATATCCAATCTCCGATTGTTTCCTTTTACGCGTCGAAAATTTCATTGTAATTCTCCAATACGAATTTAAGAAACAATTTACTGCTTTCCACTTACGTAAAGACATTGTCAGCGATTTCTCCGCGATAAAATCGTTCTCTCGTAAATCGTTCCTGAAGCGAGACGTTAGCTTGCTACTTATCCATTTCCATGGTCGATCCACTCGTTACTCTTCGAAAAGAGAACAAGAAACGTTCTAGCTCTGTCACGACACTCGTACATAATGTAAAACGAAACGTACTAACGGAACAAGTACTCTCAAATTTTGTCAAATATTTTGCTCCAATTTCATATCGTTATTCTTCGATTAACTTAAAACATACAACTCGGAAGAAGCTACCGATATTTTACATTCCGTTTAGATACCATTTTCTAAAAATACACGCCTAACAACACTCCGTACGTGGTAAACCACATCATCGATAAAGCGTCAAGCTCCACGTTCTCTATATTCTTATCTCAAATACGATTCTTCTTACGGATCGTCTGATGTACTTCATCGGTTCTTTCCCGCTCATCCGTGAACTATCCACGTGCCTTTCTTACATACGTGATCTCTCTCTCTCTCTCTCTTTCTCTCTCTCATTCACTCTCTCACTCACTCGCCAACCCCTCCCCCTTCCTCTAATTTACTCGAACGCGTACTATAACATCGACTAGAAAAAGCAAACCCTCTCGCCAGTTCACCTTCGTGCAACCGCAAGTGCGCTTTCTTCTTTTCTTCCCTCCTTCTTCTAGGCAGCGTCCTCTCGTTTCCTTCGCCTCTGGTGCCGCTCCTTTCTTCGTGCACCTGTGCTCACGCACGTCGCCGCGATATACACCGTGCTGCAATCGTACCGTGCTGGAACGCGTGTACGCACGTGAAAAGGTCGACGAAAATAGTCGCGTTAGCCTGCTACCTTTTGTACGTGCCGATCAAGGCTGTTCGAACGTTATTTTCGTCGATGGGGTCATTTTACGCGAGCCCCGTGCAAATAAACGGGGCGAATTTATTCGGTTCGATTAAATTCGATTCGATTACATCGCGCTCCTTCGCAATCACGGATCGTGACGGTGTAACGAGTGAACTCGCTTCTTCTCGCCTCCAGACTTCTTCGTTTTTACGATGAATTGCGAGTTCAGTCGCGGATCAGAGCGTACAGATTAATCCGGATTTTTCTTTTACAAGTGGTTTTCAAAAAATCGTGCCTCGCTTCCTACTTAACATTTCGATTTCTTCCATTACGGTTCGTTATTCGTTTAACGTTTCTGCGATTTAATTTTTAATCTCATAATATTTAAACTCATATTGAGAAGTACAGCGCGTTGGCGAAAATCATCGAAACACGTTAAAGACGAAGAAAAATCATTGTATGCAAATATGTCGCACGATTTGTAACTACAATGAATCTTAAGACGTATCGACTTCCTCACCTCGTAGTTAGCCGTTCGAACGACGAAAGCTCGCGAGCATTTATTAACCAAGTATAACGATTTTTGCGAACATTAGTTTCGCGTTGTTGGTTATTGTTGCAAGACAATGTTGTTTCCTACGTGGTAGTTTTTCTGCGTTGGTATCACGTCGAAAAACAAAGCGAGGAAGGACGAAACCATAAATGCAGCTGCCAACTTTCTTTCTCTACGATCGTAGTGATACACTGGTACGAAAAGTAAATCAAGGAGGCACAGCTGCGTGAAAAAATACACCCATTCATAAAATACAGTCGTTTTAGTTGCTCCGTTCTCGTTAGCAATTTGATAACTATTTGGTAACAACAATTTCGTAATTCTTGCGATAAAGTCTTTCTTTCCTTTATTTTACTTTTGACTTTGCGTCGTGCAATAGGACAAGTGCTTTGCACCAAGCTTCATATTTTAATTGTATTTGAAACTACGCGAACAACACCTGTTTTTCGTTATAATACCTTTCTTCCCTCGTTGAGCCAAATATCAAGCGCCATTATTACGTGAATGTGTACTTGCGAATTTCAGAAAGCCCGTTTATCTGTACTTTCGATATGGCAACAATTTTACAATAAGATCAAGTTGTAACAAGTTCAAAGCTTCGAGCTTTTATCTAAAGCAAAAGGTAAACTGAAACACGTATATGTAACGTTACCTTTCTAACTGTTGCTACACAGAATCACGACGATAGTCATTCGAAAAGCAAACATATTCGTATTACGTTACATCGACTTCGAGTCGTGGACGTCGACGAATAATAATCTCCGAATCGTGACTGTATCCGAAGAAAATTTGAATTTCTAAAGCCACTTACCTCAATACCTTATTTGCATTTTACCTCGCGTTTTTCTCATAGAACCTGATTCCGTTTGTGTCAACCGGAAATGTCAAGCGAGAAGGGGATGTTTTTCCCATTTTGCAAATCGATTCGAAGAAACATATACGTATAGAAATTCATGGATGAGTTTAAGAATAAAAAGTCGTATTGGAGAAATTTTTTAACAGTTCGTTCGTTCCACTCGAGACTATCCGCCAAATGTCCTTATCAAATACGAAATAACATCAAACGCTAAACGAAACATGTCTGGTTACTCGAGATCCCGAATCTTCTACCCCCTACTGGCATTGTCGCGAGAAGGCCACGTGAAATCTCTATGGAATGATCTATAAACGCAGGAAACCCTGTTGGGTTTCGCGGTGAACTTTTCTCAGTCGTGTCTCAGCAGATGTACGACCATTTGCCATGGCAGCTGCACTCCTCACCACCGTAAACTTGAAGCACCAGTCCCGGATCTTCGTTCTACCTGACCCTACCCTCACGGTTTTAACCATCCTCCGAATCTTCGCGAAATATCCTCCTCGATTCTGTATTGGACGTGAGGAATTTTTACAAAATTGCACACCGATCTTTCCAATGTATTAATTGATGGAAAGTTGGCCGAAGCAGATCGGCATTTCCCGTTGTAATCTCGTAATCGCGCGATAAACCGGTTTCTCGCGGTGCAAATTCGAGTTTGCTCGATAGAGAAATGCACGGAGGCACCAAGAACGCTTCGTATAGCCCTGGTTAGTTTGAGAGTAGGGAAAAGGTAGCTGGGTCTGAGTGGAACATTCATCGTCCAAGGATGGAGTGGGGGTTGACTCGTGCTCGTATCTAAATGGACGAAAAACAGGGACAACGATCTCGTGCCCGTAGCCACTGGAGAACCACCAAAGTAGCTTAATTTCAATTTTCCTTGTATTACATTTTTTATGGTTAGGAGGAAATTTGTCGATGTGTAAGATGCTTTGGATGGAAAAATGGCCGCAGAGAACAAAAGCGATGGTCGGGTTGGAAGAATTTGATGAAATTTTAATTGAAGAAAAGTTAGTCTTGGAATGCATCAATTTGCGTAATGCAAACGAAATACGATTTGTACGATGAATTGTAAGTAAATCGTGATAGATATGAACAGATAGGGTGAGAGCCGAAAATGACTATGCATCTTGTAGATACAAAATTTATTTAAAGACTCTTACAAATATTTAAAAAATTAGAAATTATACAAATTGAAAACTCGTTAAAACGATATACGATATGTAGGGAAGTACAAATTAATGGTAAAACACAGGTAAATCGATATTATAGGAATCTGATTCTTGTAAGGTATATATTCGCTTGTGGGTCATTGTACATACGATAAATATATTTATTTATAGACAGGTGTACTTGTAACGCAAATATTTTTTAAAAAAGGTAAAAAGGAATTTGCTCAACCTCTCGTCGTAAACGTAGCACCGATCTTCCTCGAATTCAGGATTCTTCGAGCCTTAATTTTTCTTGACTCTACCCGTTTCTCTTCTCTTCTCTTATCATATCGCACGGTCTGATAACTTTCTCCGAGCTTTATTACACGGTACCGAAATAAAGTACAATCTATTTGCCTCTGGACTTTTGGTTCGTACAAGATGTACTTGAAGAGACACAGGGCATCGATGGAAATAAGCACATGCCTGGGGCGCCGTAGGACCCGGGTAGAGCGACATGGGCCCGTTTGAACTACGGCATTCACGTCCCGAGTGTTTCAGGGGGGGGTTCTTGCACGTCTCTGGTGTCGGAATACCGGAAGGTTGTACGTGTATATCATCGTCTCGTCGAGAGCTTTTCTATTACCTCGTGTTGTTCAGTGAAAGTGAAACGCGTTCACCTCGTGTCTATATCGCGACGAAAGTGAAGCGACTGATAACGTGTTCTACTCGATGCTTTTTCGTTTTTACCTTACTGATAAAACGGAGCTGCAACTATCCAAAGCTACACGCGAGCATGATACCTTCACCAGGTGGCGCGGAGGTTCTTCAAATAAGAAACGACCGTTTTACTCAAATGTAAGAGAATGTGCGTGTGATCCGATCGAGCATTAGGATCTTTCAAAATTTATAAGCAGCACTTCGGAAAATTGGAAAAACTGTCGCGTGCCAGAATTTTCGAGAATTTTGTCCACACTTGTCGTCACCCGAGATACGGAATTTTGGTGATAAGTTTGTAAAATCCACTTATAAATGATCTTTATCTTATATTTTCGGAATAAGTAGAACGTTCTGTGGTCTGTTCCTATGGATGACGGTCAGTTCGTTGATGCGACAGATCAAACGTACGCTACAGTTCCGGTGGGGTCGGCGGAAGTAGCTGAGCGTAACGGCGGCAGTTCTAACGGAAAAACGTGGGAACTAGTATCGTCGTGGCTCTACTCTTCATTAGCTGACGCGTGTTAAAATACGATCATCTTGTTAAAACATCCACGTAACGGGCAAACTCTTCTTCTGTCTCGAATTGTAAAATAGAACGTATACAAACTCTTCTGCGACGTAAGAAAGAGAAAAATAATAAGCGGTGACAGAATATTTTACGAAAACCTTTGACAAGACGTAAAACTAGTTAAATAATTTACAGACGATTCTTTCTTTTTCTCTCTTCTCCTTCCTTTTCGTTACGATTCAAATATTTCATAATAACAAATCGACCTCGCAATCAAAAGTAAAAGATAAAATGACGTTCTTCCGTTGATCGACCTTTCGATCGAAACGAACGCTCGTAAATATTCGATAACCTCCGCGAGGAAACGGAATCGCATTCGAGTAACGGTTTCCTGTCGACGCGGTTGAAAGGCTTTTCGTCTCGTTCGAAGACTCGGGGAGAACACTCTCGTAATTCTCTCTTACAATAGCGTTCGACTATTAAGCGGTCGACGAGCGAGACGACTTCGGATGAAATTTGCACCCTTGCGGCGGTTTCGGAACTATTTGATTCGTGTCTCTCTCGTAAGGAATTGGAAGCGGCTGCTCGTAATTAGAAAAGGAGTATATAGACAGAGGAAACGGAGCAAAGTATCCGTCGAAGACAAAGAATCAAAGGCAGAGAGGCTGTTAGTTCGGTACGATGCTTCCGAAACGATTCGAGAATTTCTCTTCCCTCGGGAACACTCGACAGTCTTTTTGACTCTCGCACGAGTTAAAGGGACAATGCGGCCACGATCGAATCGTGAACTCGACTAAACCACGAACGAATAACCGTGGTAGGATTCGTCATCGATTAAAAATAACGAGCCACGGAGATAGACGCGTCGACGCGATCATCGTCGAGCAGTAAAAAGCGGTGCGTATCGTACGGATAGCGAACGAGCAACAGGATATAATGTAGTCGATCCCCACTGGTCTAACGTAAGGTAAACTAGACAAAAGAGACGCGACGAGCGCGAAACCGAGAAAGAGTAGCTGAGATCCCACTCTGGGCACAGTCCATGACGTCAACCTCTGAGGCCAAGTCGTACGACCAGTTTGAACTGCTAGCTCGCGGTAAGAAGGGAAGAAGAAGATGAGGAAGAAGCGTCGCTAGTCTGTTCGCCCGTTCCTCGAACCGTCCCCGATACATCGACGTTTTTACCGGCCGGTTTCTCGTTACGCAGCGCCGCCATTACGATTCAAAAACATTCTCCGATCATTCGTCGAGAGACAATAGCTGGTTTCAAATATTTCGGCTTTCTATCGTTGATCAAACTCGTGGTCAAAGTGTCAGGTAAAAGGACACGAGGAGTTTGTTCGTTCGCGTTTGGAACTAGCAGTGACGGAAGAAGAGGAAGAATAGAAAGAAGAGCGTCGTATAGCGTT